AAAGGAAATATATCTGCATTTTACGCAAGTGTGTGTTCTGTATGGCACTTATTGTAAGTCCTTTTGGATAAAAGTGTCAGCTAAATTAAATATGCAATGAAATAACTGAAACGTTGACTTTTATTAAATGTATTGTGTAAACAGATTTCACATAACTGTATTAGGTTAGGTGAAAGCAATAATATTAAGTTTAAAGTTAAATATATTAGGTTGAACTTAATATTATTGCTTTCAAAAAACGTAATACATTTAATTAAAGTCAACTTTTCGGCTGTTTCAGTGTAATATAAAGCTATGTATTGATATAAACCCTTTTACCACAAGGGGGCAGTATTTTACATTAAACCTTCAAACACACATTAGTTCTCTCTACACCAAACACATCTCATTTGTAAAATAAGCAGTCAGAACTGTGGTCCTCTCATTGAATATTGTATGAAACGTTTATGAACAAAGAAAGAGTCTGGCTTTCCAGAGCTGAAAACTATTTGAAACTAATTTTATTAGAGTGTCTTCCATGTTTTGTGGTCAACTTGCAAATGACCTTTACAAAGTTGGGAAAGTGTTGTCTGGTGAAATACACAAAAGTTATTATTCAATGAGTTGTAGTGAAATACAGTGTTGAGCAATAGTGGACATTCAGGAAGACTGTGAGAACATCAAACACAGATAAAATAGTCCAAAGTGCGCTTGTTTGAATTGCAAAATAACCACTGCAATATTTTGAGATTCATTTAAATACAATTTGGTCAGTGTTGGTGCTAGTGTTTCTCATGAGACTTTACTGTGTAAGTTATTTAATCATCTAATTTAACCTTTTGATTTAAACAACTGTTGTTTTTCTTCTAAAACATCCCCACTTTTGAAATATATCCGGAAAATCCATAAATGTAGGCTTCCTCCCAACAGATTAGGCAAAGCAAACACAGGATGTACTGTATAAATAGGACTGACAGAGACTTTCAGTGGATTTAAAGTAAAGCTGGTCAACATTTCTTCATCAAAGCCTGAGCCGAGAACATAATGGCTATAGATATCAAAACAATGTTCTTCCTTGGACTTGCTGTTGTACTAACAGGTACAGTATGAGATGGTGGTTTTGTTTATAATCTGGCAGAGGAGAGACATTTCTTGCGTCGTGGTAACAGTCGCTTCTGTTCTGGTTCTCCTCGGTCAGGTGTGGGAAAGTCTGCCTTCATCGGGAAGAGTCACAGCGGAGGGAAGGATGATCCTGTGCTGCAGTATATTGTCAACAACTCACTGAGAGAGCATCCAGTCCTCACCAAACTCAGACTGGTAAGAGAAACAACAAACCCTCATAATCTGGTGTCACCTGTTGAGATGAAGAAAGCATAGTAATTCACTTATTGTCTAAGCAAGATACCCCTGCTTGTCTAGTGTTTCACTCTGATGCTGCTATGCCCCTGACCAGGTCAACCTAAAGATCTACATTTGATTCCCATGAGGTTCAGTTCAGAATTATTTTTGATCACTTTAGTTTAGCATGAGCAGGAGCCTGCCAACATGTATCAACATGCTGAAGCCATCAGCAGGTTATTTAGCTCAGACGATGGTCGGTTGGTCGTCTCGAAGAGCTCTGGGCTAAAAACTAAAAATGATTTAACTTTTAAGTTTTTACTTGTAAACTTTAATCAAACTTTGAAACTAGACCTTTAAAAAGAAAATGAAGACACACCTGCTTAGAATTGCATATGTTCATTGTGCATTAAGTGTCATATTTATTTTCTTTACTTTCTATTTAAATACATTTAAAGATACCAGAGTACTGTATATAATTTCTGTCTCCAAGTAGTACACTTATAAGATCACCAGAGGGCAGCACAGTGTCATAAAACCCCCAAACATCGACCGAGTAGTACCAGGAGATGTGTATCCATTTAGCCAGATCATATAATAATAAACTGTGTATTACATAGTTTGATATTTTCATTTCAGAGAACCCTTGAGGACCCATGGAGCATCATGATGGTTGCCAGTGAACAAGCTCAATTTATGGCAAATCTTATAAGACTGATAAATGCAACTAAAGCCATTGAAATAGGTGAGATAATCAAATATGGCAGCAATAAGGGTCATATTTATTGGAACTGAACATCTGATTGTGAAATCAAATTTATCATAAATTCTTACTGTTGAAAAATAAATATATGTTACGTCTGTACTATAAAGTCAACAGTATTTATCAGTATATTATTGCTTCAGAGTTTATGGCAAAATATCTTATTCTGAAAGCTATCTTTGTGATTGTATGACAAAACATGAGCTGAAAGCACAGAGATTTGATCAATTCTATTTAGGCTCAATTGATGATTAAGTAAGTAAGATGTTGCTATTGAAATTAAGATGAACAACTTTAATTGGATTTACAGGCCCTAAAATGACCAGTTGAATTCAAACAACTTTAATAAGTGTCTAAAAAAAAAGTGTTGTGAGCACACATTGTAAATGGCACATCCTGAATTTGCCTACTCTGGATTCTCAAGATTTATATAGATATTGATTTACTGCTGTGAATGTAACTGTATTCAATTTTCTACAGTAAGTTCGGATTGCATGCTTTATATGGGCATGCAGTTGCTTTCATATAAACACATTTGTATTTGCCTCTGATATTTGAATCATTTTTAAGGGATATTATTCAGGAGTTAACTTCACATTTCTGTTGCAGGGATGTACACTGGGTACAATGCTCTGAGCATGGCTTTGGCCATGCCACATAGTGGAAATGTAGTAGCTTGTGAAATACAAGAAACCTATGTGGACATCGCCAAACCGTTTTTTAAAGAGGTGAGAACATTTATTTGTGAATATTACGTCAAGTCTTCAACACAAGATAAAAAAAGACACAGTACAGCCTGGTGCTTGTGTCTCATTTGAATTTGCAACTTTAGTGAGACTGATTGATGCTTCTGTCAGAGCAAGATTGTGCAGCAGACAGCAGACTGCACATCTACCTTCTGTCAGTTTGTCTTCACAAAATGTTGCCAGCTGGAGAATAAAAAAGGTGTCTGCTCAGGAAACTGTGTCACCCAAACAGGAAAATCAATTCCTGTTTAGCCTTGCCTAACATTCTCTTTCAAAAACAATTAAAGATTCTGCACAACTCTCATATAATGTAACCTTTTCTCTAGGCTGGGATTGAAAATAAGATAGATGTACGCCATGAAATAGCAATGAAGACACTAGGTATGTTCTTGTATCTCAGTTATGTTTTTTTAATCAAAGAAAATGGACTTAGGACATTTTAAATGTATATCTCTGTTTCATCAGATGAACTGATTGCAGCCGGGGAAGCTGGAACATATGACTTTGTGTTCATCGATGCTGATAAATTAAACTATGACAGATACTACGAGAAGTCGTTAGAGCTCATACGAACAGGGGGCATCATTGCCATTGACAATGTAAGTACACTTTTCATAAGCAGGATCCAGCTTGCTGTGGGATTTAAAGGTGTGCAGCATGTTAAGACTGGGACCAGAATGAATCAGCAGTGTTGTGTTTGTCTTTGAAGGTGCTGTGGAGTGGAAAGGTTGTGAATCCTGCTCCCAGTGACCTCACCTCCCAGGCTCTGGATGCTCTCAATAAAAAGCTTCACAAGGACCAGAGGATTGATCTGAGTATGCTCCCTGTGGGCGACGGGCTGTCCATTGTCATTAAACGCTAAAGTATGAGTTGAAAAGTTCCATGTTTGGCCTGCTTAAGATTTACTGGTAAATAAAACAAATGATAGTACATTGCCTTCTCTATGTTTTTGTCTGCAACAGCAATCATCCAGCAGATTACATATTATACAACTCCCTCTCTGTGTTCACTGTTTTACAAAGACAGCAATCATGAAAGAGCTATAAATACAGTTTCATTAAGTGACAATACAGAGTGCTTCAGCTCAGCATCGTAACAAAAAACATATACTTATTTTAAATAGAGGATGTCTTTGTTAAGGACATGAAACATTTTGTTTTGTTTTCAGGCTGATGTGATCAACTCTGTCTGTAGCTAGAATACACTGTACACTTAAAGAAATACAGGCTATAGAAGTGCATGGAGTACAGTAAAATGTTTTATAGAGCTACATTTAAGTACTGTAAAGTGTGATGAACATGTCAGCCTTTATACAGCACAAATGTTAACATCAAAATAGTAATAAGACATACTGAAAATACAAGTTTAGGCTTTTAAAGAATTGTAAACCCTAACCCTTTTTTTATAAAAGTCATGAGCAGTTTGAGCATCTTAGAATATACTGCTGGGGTATATAGTATATTCATTCATATGTATATACTGTTTAAACAGTGGAAATATACGGTCTAGCAGTGCTCTTAGCAAAACGTATGACTTATTTAAGTATGTGTGGTTGAGTTAAATTATATTGATGTAGAATATTTCCCTCCAATATAAAGCCTATTGTGCATGAAATGCAAACACTGCGTAACAACAATTGTGACAAAGTACCTGACTACATGTAGCCTATACTGAAAATAAATAATAATAAAAAGACACACTGAAGAAAAGTTTTGGAGGAACGAAAACTTAACCACCAAATGCAACCACATGACTTGATTTCTGGCTTTTCATCAGGATATATGTAAATATTTATTAAACACTTTATTATATTATAAGAGGTGTGAGCCTTGATCTGAAGTCAGTAAGAAGTGAAGGAAAAGTATGTGGTGTTTTAAATGACGTCATCTAAAAGCAGTAAAGCAGGTTGGTCGTGGAACACTGTAGAGTTATATAAATGAAAGATCTTAACAATGCAAACGCTCTCTAATAATGATAATAAAAATAATAATAATAATAATAATAACAATACAAATAACAACAGTTATTAGCATTAATAATAATAATGTACATGAGCTTTATTTTGTTGGGGTTGGTCAGTCCTTTCACGTCACTGCTTTCTGCGACAAATCGCGGTGTAAGCTCTCATTAAACATCAGCTGATGCTTCACCTATTCAGCACTCCAGACAGCTCTGTTCTGCACACCGAGCAGATGGAGTCGGTATAAAAACCCGTCCTCTGCAGCGGAGAAACACCACCACAGCCTGAGTCTCAGCATGGAGAACAGACTCCTCTTTCCGCACAGGAAAGCTCAAGATGAGTATTCACAGTGCAAGCCGACACGTTCGGGCTTAGATAGCAGGGCCGTCTCCACCGGCATGGATTTGACTAACCCTGGGAAGTTTAATGAGAAGGAATTGATGCATGGCTTAAACGATCGTCTCGCAGGATTCATAGAGAAGGTGCACCACCTGCAGTACCAGAATACACTGCTAGAGAGAGAAATCGGTGAGATAAGAGGGAAAGCGAAACCCGCGTCTTGTCTGGAGGAAGAGTATGGACCAGAGCTCAGGAAACTGAGGCAGCTGCTTCAGGAAATCACTCATCAGAAGCATCAGATTGAAGTCGAGCACGACAATTTTGAGGAAGACCTGTCCAATTTAAGGAGACAACATGACCAGGAAGCGAGGAGCAGATCGGATGCAGAGAGCGATATCGTGGTCCTCAAGAAGGACATTAATGACGCGTATCAGGCTAAACTACATATGGACAAGAAAGCGCAGGCTCTCGTGGATGAAATCCAGTTCCTTAAGGGAAACCATGAAGCCGAGGTGTCAGAGATAATGGACCAAATCCAGGATGCACAGGTGACTGTCAAGGCGCATGCATTTGGAAACTCCGGAATTACTGCGGCACTCCGGGACATCAGGGCACAACTGGAAGGTCATACCGTGTCTGACGTCCAGCAGCAGGGAGACAATTTCCAATCTCAGTTTGCAAGGCTAACAGAGGCAGCTGAGAGCCAGAGAGAGGCGTTAAAAGCGACCCAGCAAGAGATCCAGGAGTACAGGAAGCGCCTGCAGACCAAGGACATCGAGCTGGACTGCACTTATGGCACCAGGGAGGCGCTGCAGAAGCAACTCCGTGACGTGGAGGATCGCCACCAGGAAGAAATGATGCATTACCAGGTGAGACTCACTTTGTAAAAGCTTATAGTTTAATAATGAAAATTGTCTAAATAGGGTCCAGTAACACTCTTTCTTTCTCTCCTGTTTCAGAACACAATCAAAGAACTTGAAAATGAGCTCATAAATTGCAAATTTGACATGTCTGGTTACCTGCGGGAGTACCAGGACCTGTTGAATGTGAAGATGGCTTTGGATGTGGAGATAATGACTTACAGGTAAGGTTTGCTAATTTCCAAATGGGGTTAACTGTTAGAGAGTGACAGCTCTCGTTATTTCAAAGGCTATAGCTTCATTAGGGATTAAGAATTATGAGTTTAAGAACAAAGCTTAAACAAGGTATAGTTAAATGCAAACAATCTCAATGTTTTATTATGTGAATATGGTCGATTATAAACTAATAGATGCCTTGCATTGCCTATTAAAAATATAAAATACATGACTAAAGGCTACAATCTAAACCACTAAGACATATCATTATGTACATGTATTTGTTATTAACTGTTTTGTTTGTTGGTCTATTAATGAACTGACTCGAGCTCCGAATTGATGTTGCACTATTTGTTTATATTACCTCAAAGAAAGGGGACGTGTTGATAAGATAGATACACACCCGGTGTCGTCACATAGTTGTGATCTATGTTTAAATCCACATGTAAGGTAAAAGACCTGAACAAGACCTGTTGATGAAAGATGGCTAAGACTTTAGCACGGAGCACGAGTCAGTTCATTTAAGACCAAACAAAACATTAACCAATAATGTTTGCAAAATGTAGTTATTTATACTGTCAAGTACTGTAACTCATTAATTGGTTACTAACATATCTAAAGCTGGTTAATAAAGCTTACAAAAGTATTTAAACATAAACATAAACAGGTTGTGTTAATCTCACAACAGAGCTCAACCCTGAAAACTGACACTATGAAAAGTTCCTCAATATAACTTAATCATTAAGATCGGAAGAGAACATCAATAATGTTATATTTTATACATAAAAGCTTTTAAACGATACGTTATTATGTAACCCCATATGTTATCATCAACATTTTGATAAGCAACCAATACGTTTTCAGTTTGTATTAATTGTTAAAAGTTACTAATTACTCACCTCCTCTAAAGACCATTTAGTGGTATGTTTTTGCAGTTGCTTAAATCTTTCTCATGACATTGACATGTTCCTTATACAGCTTTAGCCTTTATTTTTTATCTCATGAAGTCCCTAACTGACACACCCTGAACAGTCTGGTGGGTCATGGTCCAGAAGGTCATGTGATTTTGTGTTCCCATAACAACATATCCAAGATGTCCATGTGCCAGACTAACACATTTGACACAACTACATTTCAAAAGCTTTTGTTGTTGTTGCTAAAGGTACAATTAAAGCCATTTAAGAATTAAAATGCTTACAGTACATAACATGTCCTTTATTACATTTAACCTGTTGTGGAAACATTTCTTGATCAAATTGATATGAGACAAACATCGCTGTGACACTGGTGTCACATCGGGACTTTAACCCTTAACATTCACAGTAAACCCGGAGTGACATATATGCACAATTAGAAATATGATTATGATCTGCTCAGTTAATTTAGCTGATTAAATTATATTTAGTTAATATATTCTTTATTCTTCAATTCAAACAAAGTATGTTCAAACTAATTTAAATCAAAAAATCATCCTCATTAATTAAGTTATAAATAAGAGTTACTTTACCATTACAGCCCAATGTGACATGTCACATTTCAGATATTTCACACTAGGGGAGGTTTCTTGTCAGAAATGTGTTATAGGTGGTCTATTTAGTCTAAATTATGTTCCCCTTAATTTCCCCAAAAGTAGAAATGGGTCCGGGTTCTTATGAGTTAAAATAAATGTTGTATCAGAAGTGTACATTTGTCACAGCAGATTTAAATCTGTGTCCTATACCTTGCAGGAAACTTCTCTGCGGTGAGGAGGCTCGTCTGACTGCGATGTCCGACACCCACGTCTCCCTGCCCTACATCTACCACCAGTCCCCCGTTTACACGCTGCCCTGTCTGAGACCGGGAGGCCCACACAGACGTGCCGAGCCCCACTACAAGTTCGTGGAGGAGATCATAACGGAGACCACCAGGGAAATAGAGATGTCCGAATATGAGGAGACGGGTTCAGAGGAGACAGATGAGCAGGAGGGTACCAAAAGAGATAGAGGGAGCAGTGAGGAAGAGATGGATAATAAAGACAGTGGAAACGTGGAAAGAAAGCAGATGTCTGACAGTGAGCAGAATCAAGTAGCACCGGCTGGGGATTTAGTGAATGGATGTGATGCTGGCAGTCCTGTGGAGGTGGATGATAGTGACAATGGTCAAAAAAGTAAAGAAGAGACTGAAGCAGCTGACGATGAAGAGGATATAGATACAATTACTCCTAACACAGTCGTATTAAGTGAAAGCCTTGATGAGAAAGATAACGAGCAACAGCAAAAAGTAGCTGAAGAGACAAAAGGAGAGAAAGAAGTTGGAGGTGCAGTGGTTGAGAAAGATATATCTCAAAAGTCAGATGATTTAAAGCCAGAGGTCCCTGCGGAGGATGAACTTCTTAAAAAATCTGATAGTAAAAAAGGAGATGCTGAGAAAGATATTATCCCAGCTCAAGCAGAGAAGCCTGTTGACGAGTCCTCGGCTCAGGTGTCTAGAGAATCAGACAAAACTCAAGAGCTAAGCAGTGTTGAAGCCCAAGTTAAGGTACCTGCGCTAGAAACTGCAGATCTAACAGAAGACACAAAAATCACTCTTTCAGAGCTTTCACAAAAGACTCAAGTATCTTTGACTACACCTAAGAGTGAGGCAAAGGAAAGCAACGTCCTATTAAGTGAGGGCCTTTATGAGAAGGATAACCAGCAACAACAAAGAGTAGCTGAAACGACAACATCTAAAGAAGCTCCAGGTGCAGTGGTTGAGAAAGATATCTCTCCAAAGTCAGATGATTTAAAGCCAGCGGTCCCTGTGGAGGATGAACTTCTGAAAAAAAGTAGTAAAAAAGGAGATGTTGAGAAAGATAGTTTTATCCCAGCGGAAGCAGAGAAGCCTGTTGACGAGACCTCGACTCAGGTGTCTCAAGAATCAGACAAAACTCAAGAGCTAAGCAGCGTTGAAGAGCAAGATAAGGTACCTGCTCTAGAAATGGCAGTGAAAACTACAGATTTAACACAAGAGACAAAAAGCACTATTTTCATAGAGAAAGAGATTTCAGAAAAGACTCAAGTATCTTTGAGTACACCAAAGAGTGAGGCAAAGGAAAGCAAAGTCTTATCAAGTGAAAGCCTTGATGAGAAGGACAACCAGCAACAACAAAAAGTAGCTGAAAAGACAAAAGAGGAGAAAGAAGCTCCAGGTGCAATGGTTGAGAACGTTATCTCTCCAAAGTCAGATGAGTTAAAGCCAGAGGTCCCTGATAGTAAAAAAGAAGATGCTGAGAAAGATAGTTTTATCTCAGCTAAAGCAGAGAAGCCTGTTGACAAGTCCTCGGCTCAGGTGTCTCAAGAATCAGACAAAACTCAAGAGCTAAGCAGTGTTGAAGAGCAAGTTAAGGTACCTGCTCTAGAAACAGACAAGAAAACTGCAGATCTAACAGAAGACACAAAAATCACTCTTTCAGAGCTTTCACAAAAGGTTCAAGTATCTTTGACTACACCTAAGAGTGAGGCGAAGGAAAGCAACGTCCTATTAAGTGAGAGCCTTGATGAGAAGCAAAATGAGAAACAACAAAAAGTAGCAGAAAAGACAAAAGAGGAGAAAGAAGCTACAGGTACAGTGGTTGAGAAAGATATCTCTCCAAAGTCAGATGATTTAAAGCCAGAGGTCCCTGCGGAGGATGAACTTCTTAAAAAATCTGATAGTAAAAAAGGAGATGCTGAGAAAGATATTATCCCAGCGGAAGCAGAGAAGCCTGTTTACGAGACCTCGGCTCAGGTGTCTCAAGAATCAGACAAAACTCAAGAGCTAAGCAGCGTTGAAGAGCAAGATAAAGTACCTGCTTCAGAAACAGACAAGAAAACTGTAGATTTAACAGAAGACACAAAGAGCACTCTGTCTGTAGAGAGAGAGCTTTCAGAAAAGACTCAAGTATCTTTGAGTACACCGAAGATTGAGGCAAAGGAAAGCAAAGTCTTATCAAGTGAGAGCCTTGATGAGAAGGATAACCAGCAACAACTAAAAGTAGCTGAAAAGACAAAAGAGGAGAAAGAAGCTGCAGGTGCAATGATTGAGAAAGATATCTCTCCAAAGTCAGATGATTTAAAGCCAGAGGTCCCTGTGGAGGATGAACTTCTGAAAAGATCTGATAGTAAAAAAGGAGATGCTGAGAAAGATAGTTTTATCCCAGCTCAAGCAGAGAAGCCTGTTGACAAGTCCTCGACTCAGGTGTCTAGAGAATCAGACAAAACTCAAGAGCTAAGCAGTGTTGAAGAGCAAGTTAAGGTAACTGCTTCAGAAACGGCAGAGAAAACTGCAGATCAAACAGAAGACACACAAATCACTCTTTCAGAGCTTTCAGAAAAGGTTCAAGTATCTTTGACGACACCCAAGAGTGAGGCGAAGGAAAGAAAAGTCTTATTAAGTGAGAGCCTTGATGAGAAGGACAACCAGCAACAACAAAAAGTAGCTGAAAAGATAACATCTAAAGAGGCTCCAGGTACAATTTTAACAGTTGAGAAAGATAGTTTTATCCCAGCTCAAGCAGAGAAGCCTGTTGACGAGACCTCAGCTCAGGTGTCTCAAGAATCAGACAAAACTCAAGAGCTAAGCAGCGTTGAAGAGCAAGTTAAGGTACCTGCTTCAGAAACAGACAAGAAAACTGCAGGTTTACCAGAAGACCCAAAGAGCACTGTGTCCATTGAGAAAGAGCTTTCAGAAAAGGTTACAGTATCTTTGACTACACCGAAGATTGAGGCAAAGGAAAGCAAGGTCTTATCAAGTGAGAGCCTTGATGAGAAGGATAACCAGCAACAACTAAAAGTAGCTGAAACGACAAAAGAGGAGAAAGAAGCTGCAGGTGCAATGATTGAGAACGTTATCTCTCCAAAGTCAGATGATTTAAAGCCAGAGGTCCCTGTGGAGGATGAACTTCAGAAAAAATCTGATAGTAAAAAAGGAGATGCTGAGAAAGATAGTTTTATCCCAGCTCAAGCAGAGAAGCCTGTTGACAAATCCTCGACTCAGGTGTCTCAAGAATCAGACAAAACTCAAGAGCTGAGCAGCGTTGAAGAGCAAGATAAGATACCTGCTCTAGAAACAGCCGAGAAAACTGCAGATCTAACAGAAGACACAAAAATCACTCTTTCAGAGCTTTCACAAAAGACTCAAGTATCTTTGACTACACCTAAGAGTGAGGCGAAGGAAAGCAACGTCCTATTAAGTGAGGGCCTTTATGAGAAGGATAACCAGCAACAACAAAGAGTAGCTGAAACGACAACATCTAAAGAAGCTCCAGGTGCAGTGGTTGAGAAAGATATCTCTCCAAAGTCAGATGATTTAAAGCCAGCGGTCCCTGTGGAGGATGAACTTCTGAAAAAAAGTAGTAAAAAAGGAGATGCTGAGAAAGATAGTTTTATCCTACCTCAAGCAGAGAAGCCTGTTGACGAGACCTCGACTCAGGTGTCTCAAGAATCAGACAAAACTCAAGAGCTAAGCAGTGTTGAAGAGCAAGTTAAGGTACCTGCTCTAGAAATGGCAGTGAAAACTACAGATTTAACACAAGAGACAAAAAGCACTATTTTCAAAGAGAAAGAGCTTTCAGAAAAGACTCAAGTATCTTTGAGTACACCAAAGAGTGAGGCAAAGGAAAGCAAAGTCTTATCAAGTGAAAGCCTTGATGAGAAGGAGAACCAGCAACAACACAAAGTAGCTGAAAAGACAAAAGAGGAGAAAGAAGCTGCAGGTGCAATGGTTGAGAACGTTATCTCTCCAAAGTCAGATGAGTTAAAGCCAAAAGTCCCTGATAGTAAAAAAGATGATGCTGAGAAAGATAGTTTTATCCAAGCTCAAGCAGAGAAGGCTGTTGACGAGTCCTCGGCTCAGGTGTCTCAAGAATCAGACAAAACTCAAGAGCTAAGCAGTGTTGAAGAGCAAGTTAAGGTACCTGCTTCAGAAACAGCCGAGAAAACTGCAGATCAAACAGAAGACACAAAAATCACTCTTTCAGAGCTTTCAGAAAAGACTCAAGTATCTTTGACTACACCAAAGAGTGAGGCTAAGGAAAGCAACGTCCTATCAAGTGAGGGCCTTGATGAGAAGGATAACCAGCAACAAGAAAGAGTAGCTGAAACGACAACATCTAAAGAAGCTCCAGGTGCAGTGGTTGAGAAAGATATCTCTCCAAAGTCAGATGATTTAAAGCCAGAGGTCCCTGTGGAGGATGAACTTCTGAAAAAATCTGATAGTAAAAAAGGAGATGCTGAGAAAGATAGTTTTATCCCAGCTCAAGCAGAGAAGCCTGTTGACGAGACCTCAGCTCAGATGTCTCAAGAATCAGACAAAACTCAGGAGCTAAGCAGCGTTGAAGAGCAAGATAAGATACCTGCTTCAGAAACAGAAAAGAAAACTGCAGGTTTACCAGAAGACACAAAGAGCACTGTGTCCATTGAGAAAGAGCTTTCAGAAAAGGTTACAGTATCTTTGAGTACACCGAAGATTGAGGCAAAGGAAAGCAAGGTCTTATCAAGTGAGAGCCTTGATGAGAAGGACAACCAGCAACAACTAAAAGTAGCTGAAACGACAAAAGAGGAGAAAGAAGCTGCAGGTGCAGTGGTTGAGAAAGATATCTCTCCAAAGTCAGATGAGTTAAAGCCAAAAGTCCCTGATAGTAAAAAAGAAGATGCTGAGAAAGATAGTTTTATCCCAGCTCAAGCAGAGAAGCCTGTTGACGAGTCCTCGGCTCAGGTGTCTCAAGAATCAGACAAAGCTCAAGAGCTAAGCAGTGTTGAAGAGCAAGTTAAGGTAACTGCTTCAGAAACGGCAGAGAAAACTGCAGATCTAACAGAAGACACACAAATCACTCTTTCAGAGCTTTCAGAAAAGGTTCAAGTATCTTTGACGACACCTAAGAGTGAGGCGAAGGAAAGCAAAGTCTTATTAAGTGAGAGCCTTGATGAGAAGGACAACCAGCAACAACAAAAAGTAGCTGAAAAGATAACATCTAAAGATGCTCCAGGTACAATTTTAACAGTTGAGAAAGATATCTCTCCAAAGTCAGATGATTTAAAGCCAGAGGTCCCTGTGGAGGATGAACTTCTGAAAAAATCTGATAGTAAAAAAGGAGATGCTGAGAAAGATAGTTTTATCCCAGCTCAAGCAGAGAAGCCTGTTGACGAGACCTCAGCTCAGATGTCTAGAGAATCAGACAAAACTCAAGAGCTAAGCAGTGTTGAAGAGCAAGATAAGGTACCTGCTCTAGAAATGGCAGTGAAAACTACAGATGTAACACAAGAAACAAAAAGCACTATTTTCAAAGAGAAAGAGCTTTCACAAAAGACTCAAGTATCTTTGACTACACCAAAGAGTGAGGCAAAGGAAAGCAAAGTCTTATCAAGTGAAAGCCTTGATGAGAAGGATAACCAGCAACAACTAAAAGTAGCTGAAAAGACAAAAGAGGAGAAAGAAGCTGCAGGTGCAATGGTTGAGAACGTTATCTCTCCAAAGTCAGATGAGTTAAAGCCAAAAGTCCCTGATAGTAAAAAAGAAGATGCTGAGAAAGATAGTTTTATCCCAGCTCAAGCAGAGAAGCCTGTTGACGAGACCTCAGCTCAGGTTTCTCAAGAATCAGACAAAACTCAAGAGCTAAGCAGCGTTGAAGAGCAAGATAAGATACCTGCTTCAGAAACAGACAAGAAAACTGCAGGTTTACCAGAAGACACAAAGAGCACTGTGTCCATTGAGAAAGAGCTTTCAGAAAAGACTCAAGTATCTTTGACTACACCGAAGATTGAGGCAAAGGAAAGCAAGGTCTTATCAAGTGAGAGCCTTGATGAGAAGGATAACCAGCAACAACTAAAAGTAGCTGAAACGACAAAAGAGGAGAAAGAAGCTGCAGGTGCAGTGGTTGAGAACGTTATCTCTCCAAAGTCAGATGATTTAAAGCCAAAAGTCCCTGATAGTAAAAAAGATGATGCTGAGAAAGATAGTTTTATCCCAGCTCAAGCAGAGAAGCCTGTTGACAAGACCTCGACTCAGGTGTCTAAAGAATCAGACAAAACTCAAGAGCTAACCAGTGTTGAAGAGCAAGATAAGATACCTGCTTCAGAAACAACCGAGAAACCCATAGATTTACCAGGAGAGGCAAAAAGCACTCTGTCCGTAGAGAAACAGATTCCAGAAAAGGCTCAAGTGTCTTTGACTACACCGAAGATTGACGCAAAGGAAAGCAAAGTCTTATTAAGTGAGAGCCTTGATGAGAAGGAAAATGACCAACAACAAAAAGTAGCTGAAGAGACCAAAGAAAATATAGAAGCTGCAGGTGCAATGGTTGAGAAAGATATCTCTCCAAAGTCAGATGAGTTAAAGCCAGATGTCCCTGATAGTAAAAAAGGAGATGCTGAGAAAGATAGTTTTATCTCAGCTCAAGCAGAGAAGGCTGTTGACGAGTCCTTGACTCAGGTGTCTCAAGAATCAGACAAAACTCAAGAGCTAAGCAGTGTTGAAGAGCAAGTTAAGGTACCTGCTTCAGAAACAGCAGAGAAAACCTTAGATCTAACAGCAGAGGCAACGAGCACCCTGTCTGAAGAGAAGGAGCTTTCCCAAAAGGCTCAAGTATCTTTGAGTACACCAAAGAGTGAGGCAAAGGAAATCAGTATATCGGAAGCCTGCAAAGGTGAGGACAAAGTAGCAAGAGTCATTGAAGATGATAAACATGGTAGCATTAAAGATGAAAATAAAGAGTCTTCTCCTGAATCTGATGTGAAAAGTCTTCCTCAAGTGGAGGACCAGAAGCTGAACAGTGGGCGGGGAACCAATGAAGTCCAAACTGTATTGCCAGGAGAAAAGACAGCCGTCAATACAGAAATCAAAAAGATGGATCAGGGAGTACCGGAAGGAAGCCAGGATCAGACACTGCCTGAAGATTCAGAGAACATAAAGGATCCTCAAGGTATAACTGAGAAGGTGGAGAGTAGTAAGTCAGAGAAATAAGAGCTCTATAAAACAGGAAATATCTGCTAAGGCTTTGGAAGTGACGAGATTTCCACCTGAAATTGAATGTGACAGCAGCTGGCAGGCAAATATCAGGGACAGTGAAGCTAAAAGTAGAGAAAGCTTAACTAATGCAGAAGCAAATGAGAGGCATAAGCTGAGCAAAGCACAAGGAAGGAAGCGGCAATTCTCTTCACAATGAAAAGGAGAGCATGATTTTTCTCTACAGCTTTGCCTTCGAACTTGAAATGTGATGCATTCATATTGTTTGACTCACCACTCAATGTTATCATGAATGTAAAATATGCAAAGTTACATTTTTACTAGCATCTATCTTTACTTGCTTTGGTATGTGCTGACAAATAAATACAATATCAACAAAAACACTCTGGATACTGTGCTGAATTTTGTTGACCAACTCACCAAATGTAATCGGGTACAGACCTTGTTTCTGCTACGATGTGTTTGCTTTACTGACATGTGGTTTCCATTTGCTCAGCTATATTTGATGCTTTGATTCCCTCTTTACAGCAGTTTGCTATTCAGCACTAAAACCTCCATCCATCAGGTCTCTACACCAACTGCTAAAGGCTGCTAGATCAATATCAGACCATTTCATTAATAGCAACAATCATAATTTTAAATGCACTGCCAATCCACAAACATAGTGCTACCAAGTATACAGTGGGCTGCTTAACTACCCCATTTACTGTCACCTTGCATTGCTCCATATTCCATAGACTAGTGTTGGCATACAAGAACATTACTGCCATTAGAGCAGGGGTGTCCAAACTACAACCCGCAGGACATTTTGAATCGGCCCTCAGCAAATAAAAAAAGTATAATGAAATACGGCCCACAAATGAAACTCGAGCTTTTCTTGTATTGTACTTATTAAATATATCTGTCAACATATATTACACAGTAGTGATCATGTGTTAATAAGCCCAATTTACAATAAATTCAGTCAATTACATTTGAAAAAAGCCCAATAACTTATATACATAACAAACTTGAAATACACCCTTCCTATTTCCTCTTATGCTAATCAATCTGGGGCTCCTGTTGTAAGGGATGAGCTGTTAACCAATTAAATGAAACTGTCTGGAGAGCTGGGATGTAGGCTGTTTATTTTTCTTAAAGCAGATTCAAGTATCAAGCATAATTTATCTACTTTTGATTGACTTTGCTAACTTATCATTTAACTTATGAGGCAGTATACCTCTCCTCTAGTGAGCGGCCCGGCCCTTCGAATATTTTTCTGTATGTGGTCCTCGGTGAAAAAAGTTTGGACACCCCTGCATTAGAGGGCAAGACAAGTAGCTATAGCGATAGATGTGAGGCATATGAAAAGTATTGAGCACATAACCATGACTTTGGTCATTAAAGAGGACATTTAGAAAACGGGATTATTTTCCATCTTTGTTTAACTCATCAGAAGGCGTACATCTCCTTACCATGAAGAATCATTTAATCTGTGACTTCATTTTAAGAAAATGTCCCAGTTAGACTGCATGTTGCAGTATTTATTTTATAGCTTTAATTTCCTTTTGGTCAATTCCTTATAAAAAGGTTGAACTCTACACACCCGTTTCAAAAGTGCTGATTCTGTCTTTTACTTTAGATGAAAATAAGGAGCCACTCCCCTCTGTGAGATATTTGGTTAAGAAACACACAATGGTGCTCTAGGAGGATTCAGGTGATAAGGTGGGGGGGGGGGGGGGGGGTTACCTTGGTTGGTGGCTAATGGTTACACAAGCCAAAACATCGTAATGACAAAGTGGCCAAAATCTGATCTGCTCATTTTCAGGCAGGTTTTTATAGAAATGGATCAGGACAAAAAGAGAGAATCTTTTTTCCTGAAACTTTCAGAATCTCTTGACAGAGGAGGGGACACATGTTTATGTATAAAAGACACGAACAAGTGGATTTTGCATAATAGGTGACCTTTAAACGTAAATAAGTTATCGTTAGTAGAACTTCAATATCAAGACCAGAAATGCATTTGTGGAGTTCAAGACTTTATTGAAAATGATTACATACACAGAAGGACCTCCAAGACTTCCTGCGGGCTCTGTCACTGCCCAGCACAGGGAAGCACTTTCCAAGAGAGCCACTTGGAGTTACCTCTCGAGGACAATGATAGGTTTGGCATTACTGTGAACATGAATTATGCAGCCCCCCAGTTGTCTGTTGGTACAGAATGAACATAAACTAATTCTGCTCTGTCGGCCACATGTACATGTTTCTCTCAAACTTACAGGTCTAACAGAACATCACAACCATTATAGCCGACACAAAACAAGTCATTACAAAGCTTTAGTTTTTCCTTGTGTGCATTAACAGGATGGGTGCAGCAGTATTTTAAATAATATCAGAAAAAAAGACTAGTGTATTTAACAAGGTTTGTCAATTAAAACTGTTGGGATGACAAAGGAATATCAGATGGTCACGATTGTAAAATCAGAGAGAAGGTATGACAACGCTCACCACATAAAACCATCAACTGATGTTGACCGTCTGGGGATTACCACAATAAAGCAACGCAGAGTTGGTGACAGGCGAAAGGATTGTATTGGATTTCATTATTATGGCAGTGCTTGACAGAAACAATGAAATGATTTATAAATAATATGTCACCCACTGTCTCCAGAATAGATGCAACTACAAAGTAAAAAGAAACAAAGGTCAAATATACCAATGACAGAAGCACCAACTTGAGTTGATACTCAACAAGTTAGAGTTTGTTGTTGTAGCATTTGAACCAATCTCTCCAAGTTATCCCCTGCTGGTTTGAGTTGGACATACACTGTAAGGCCAGATTCTTCTGATATTCCCTAGTCCCTTGCAGTATGTTGAAAGCTTAGGCTTCCAGTTCCAGGCCCAGACCCAGCTTGTGGCCCCCTGCGTTGATGTTCTTGCCATCGACCAGACCAGACAGGGTGAGTTTCACACCTGCACAGGCAAAAGGAACCAACATTAGCCATTTCATGAACAAACTAAATTTGTCGAACGTGTGTTGAAAGACTTTGAGCCTGAGGCTGTTGAGTGTTGCTATAATGACTCAATGTCAAGTTATTTAAAGCATGCATTTGCTCATAACTGAAGTGCTGTGTACTACAAACACAGGTATTAAAATGTAGCACTCCAGCTATCCATTGACTGGTAGGAAACCTCTTACCTGGTCTAAGAGTCTGGGTGTACCCAACACCAACAAGGCTATTGTTGTTCACTTTAGCCTATGGAGAAAAAAAAAAATCAATTGGTAAGAATAAGTCTACATTTTATTTTGTCCACACAAAGCCGACAGCCTGTACTGCAATACTTACGCTGATGGAGGCATCCTTATCCAGCTGGTATTTGGCAGCGATACCGAAGCGTGTGCTGTTGCTGCCAGCGGTCCAGGCCAGGTTGACCCCCGTCTCCAGCTTGTCGCTCACCTTCTGGTAGATGGAGCCTCCAAACTCAGCACCATCGTTACTGTAAATAAAATCAGGAATTTCTAATTTAAAGAGGTTTTGCTTTTATCTTGTAGTAAAACATTCATCCACTTTTTGTCGTCTCTATATTCTATGACTACATTACCTGAAAAGGCAGTAGTCCAGATTTTTTTTTTTTTACAAAAACCCAAACCTAATGTAAAAGTAATCTACTCACACATTGGTGTGCAGCTGGAAGTCACCGGTCTTGTAGCCAATGGCGAAGTTGTTCCGGGTCATCTTGGATTTGGCGGTGTCAAAGCTCATCTGGTAACCAGCGAGCCACCCCTCGTAGCCGACGACAGCAGCTCCGTGGATGGTGGGGCCAGCGAAGTCGAAGTCAACATCGCAGCCCATGTTGACGAACTCACGCTTGTAGGCGGTCTTAACTTTGCCACTCTTCTTGCTGTTGATGAGAAACAAAGCTTTCGTTAACATTAGCTGAAATCAGATTGGGCTTAATCAAAGCATTTGTAAGAAGCTTTTTGCACATGTAAAAAAAAGGTAGAAAAAGGAATTTATAAAGAAATATATATATATATATATATATATATATACACATCTTTTTCCATTATGTTTGATCATTACCCAAAAGAAAGCACTTGCATTAACCAAACTACGATACAAAGTACACCCCCAGCTTGCAGTCAGTGTGAGACAACATGCATGTTCTGAAGCCAAGCAGAAACTGCCGCTTTATTTATCTTGTAAATTGGGTTGTATTGTTTTTTCCAGACCGTTTCGAAATGCTAAAACATGCCGAATATATCCAAACGTTCAAGAGCCAAACCTTTTTCCAAGGTGGTGACAGACAATTTTGATGTCCTCTTTTTTTGATACGTTGAAGAGGTCACATACGTAACTGTTGCCTGTCCTTAAAGCATCACAGGGTGTTGTGAAACTGACTTTGAAAACCACTGCCATAGATTTATGATCCCAGAGATAATTCTTAACATATGGCCTCTGCCAGCTGTCAGCTCAAGTAGCAAACGGGACAAGGACATTATCAGTAGACTGCCACTTCAACTGTTGCACCAGCTTGGCTTTGAAGTAAAACTTTGGAGTCATTGCCGAGTCAAAAGTCAAAGTTCTGCTGTTTACCTCCCAATCTGAGCATGACACTGTATCCTCGAACATGCTGTAGCCACATATCCAGGGCTCGAGCTTAAGGACGTCCCGTCGTCCCGGGGCCGAAAAGAATAGTGTCGGGGAGGATAACAAATAATTTTGGGACGAGAGTTAAAATAAAAATACCCTGTTAACTCTACTACAAACGGCGATGAAAATGAAACCGACTGAACGTTTTGTGTAGCACACAGTTATTAAACCTCCTTGTCAACATAAACAAAACATTTAGCAACCCCCAAAATACACACACACACGTAGCTACAGCTGTGCCCGCAAATTCCTGGCCCGCAAATTTGCTGGTCTAGCTATGTACTGAGTGTGTGTATTTCGCGGGTTGAGTGATGTACAATGACATCCCGTGGAGGAATTCTGAAATGTTTTACAGTCACAAAAACGCACAGCAGAACCAGACCCTGGAGCGCCGGCCTCTTTATTTACTTACTCCTCTTCACCCCTTATGGGTAATAAGGCTGAGAAGAGAACCTTCCATCGTATTTAGTCCTTAGCAATACGATGCGCCTCTCCCCATGTAGGGATGGGTACCGAGCCCCGGTATTAAACGGGCCCTGGGTCGGAAATAAAGACAGTGGTAACGTTAAGCGCCGACGTTATCGGACTTTTTATCGGTACTGGAGACATTTAAAAAATATATGTCATATGTATTATTGCTACATACACATTATATCGCAGTTTTAGTTTCGCCAACTTCGTTTCTAATATGCAATAAGAGTACAACATGCGTCTATGATGTATTTTCGAGCTTTCCA